GAGATGGCGTCCTCAGTTTCCGCGATTTCAACCTATTTTCAATCGAAATATCGTGCCGCATTTTGGGAAAACCGACGCTCGGCAGTTTGAGTTTGGTGTGAGCGCCCAAGCAACGGCGCGGCCCAACAAACTGGTCGCACATCGGGTCAAGATCCATAGCCAACTGTGGCAGCCGGAATCGGGGCTCTTGGAGCTTTCAAACCCCGCGATGTCATGTTGAGTAATTGAGCCATTGTGCCACCACCAAAAAATGAAAAATGGATTTACGCGTGATTACGCCGCGTTCAGCGTTGGAAACAACATGTACGCCGTTCAGTGAGTGTGTAGAGAGGCCTACATATCTGCTACGTGGGGTATGGCGAGTCTGTGGGTTGCGATTTGTCATTGTGGTGCAGTGGAAACGCACACTATATAAACGTAGTCTTGTGATTAGCTATAAAAAAATTAAAATCAAGCCAATAGAAACCATGTCAGTCGAGCTTCAAATCGACTTTGACACAGCCCGCAATGCTACCGGAGCACGACAGCACCGCCGTTCCGGAGATAACTTCAGTGACCATGAGCAGTGGTCACAACTGTGAAGTATGGACCCGCTCATTGCCGAGCTCACGGACAAGGCTGCGTCGACGACGGCGTCCAGGAGGCAAGCCTTGACGCGCTGGTTGCGATTCTCACCCGCGTCGGCGCCAAAATCTCGGCGTCCACTGCGCGCAGTGGAAGACGCCCTTCGCGGTCTCCTCATCATGGACGACGACCTCCGGCGTGTGCGCGCGGGCAACGGCCTCGCCCTCGCGGTCTCGCTCAGCAGCGAAGAACATGGTGTCGCGATGGTCGAGGAGCTCGTGCAGCCGTCGACGGAGCTCTGGACGTTTTCCAACTCGGCGGCGCTGGTAGCATCGGGCTCTATCAGTCTCTCGTCGGTGCCGACGTGGATTGCCACCACGCTTGCGGCGCCTGTCGTCCCGACGCTCGTGGTGCTCGCTTGCGATGAGAACTCGCTCGTCAAGTTGGCCTCGCGGTCAAGGTCGACACGGCGCTTGTCTCGGCGCTCGCTGTGGGCCTCACGGACGCCACCAACAAGGTCGTCAACCGCGTAGCGATGCGAGCCAGGCAAGCTCCTCGTCGAGTACGCCCGCCGTGTTCCCTCCAATCTCATGCTCAAGCTCAACGAAGACGACAGTGACGGCGAAGGCGCCAAGTAGAAACAAGTGCGCACTAGCTGCCTGTAAACGCAACTCAAATAGCATGTCCAATTGCGCTCGTATACTCTCAAGGGGCGACCACGAGTGGCGACGGCAAGAGTGCTTCTGATGCGTTTCATTCGTTGAAAATGGCATGTGCCATGTACAAGTTCATCGTAATGCCGCAAATAGTGCAATTCGGCATCACTTTGGATACGAGTTTCGAGCGCTGTAGGCCGCGCACGACAGTGCAGCTTGGTGCTCCGTGCTGTTCAAAGCAAACTTTATCACGCTACGACGTAGGAGCCATCTTGTATTTTGACCGACGTTGGCCATCAATTCGCAATCGGGAACGCTCCGCGACTGCTTGCGTGTTATTAGCCACATTATCCGGATATCCGGTGCAGCATCGCCAGGCCGCGCGATCGACCACTTTGCGTTCGAAAACGAAATGTCCAAGACTTGGCATAATAGTAGAGGACGCTTTGGAGAGCATGTAAAGCGAGGGCGCGCTTGCTTGCGAGGCGTACAGCGGTAGCGAGACGCGACCCAAGACGCGCGCCAAACTAAGATCGTAGTGCCATCTGAGAGGCACAACGCACTCCAAACTAAGACCGTAGCGCCAGCTTAGAGGCAGGACGCCACGACGCCGACGCTACTTGCTGACAACATCACGTTTAGAATGGAATTGCC